GGTCAGGAAAGTGAACATGGCGTCCACTACGGGTGATATATACAGAGGGCACAGGAGTAGAGTGAGTATGGTTCGCGGTTACAGTGTTGCTGGTTGATGAAGGAGTAGTTGCAGTTGTGGGTTGCGGACATGAGGGCAGAGGAAGTATACGGGACGGAGGGATAGAGGGTCGGGGAGGCGGAGCAGGGGGTAGGGGACCACAGGGCTCATCCGGCGGAGTGTCCGGGACGGCAGCTCTGAGACGGTCCACGCTCACGACCTCCTCGCAGTGCCGCGTTGGATGCGGAAGTTTTTCGTCCCACGGGAGATAACTCGGAAGGGGCCATTGTAGGGTGGTTCCAGGGGCCGGCGGACTCGATCACATCGGAGATAGACGTGAGAGCACGTTGCCAAGTCCTTCCCGAGATAAGACGGAGAGGCGGGGGACCTGGGAGGAACCGGGGAAAGTGTCCGCATAAATTGCCGGAGGCGATGCAGGAGGTTGGTGGGATCCTCAACCGCACCTTGTGGGGTTGGCGAGATCATCTCACCGGGAAGTCGGACGGTGGCGCCCAACACCAGTTCAGCTGCGGAACAGTCAAGGTCCGGCTTGAGAGCGGAGCGGATGCCCAAGAGGACCAGGGAAGGTGGTCCGTCCAGTTCCCCGGATCGGCCGCGGCGCGTAGGGGGGCCTTCAGCTGGCGGTGAAACCGGTCGACCATCCCGTTGGCTGCCGGATGATAGGCTGTAGTGCGGATGCGAGTACAGCCTAAAAAGGAGAGTAACGACTGGAAGAGGTTAGACTCAAACTGGGCACCACGGTCAGTCGTTATTGTGGAGGGTGCACCAAAGATGGCAACCCAACGACTGAGAAAAGCCTTGACCACCGCTGGAGCAGCAATGTCTGTCAGGGAAATTGCGTCAGGCCACCGAGTGAACCGATCCACACAGGTGAGGAGATAAGAACAACCATTGGACCGAGGCAGGGGGCCCACAATGTCCAGGTTAACGTGGCTGAACCTTGCACCAGGGCCAGGGAAGGTGCCAATGGAGGCCTTGTTGTGTCGCTGGATCTTACTCCGTTGACAGGCGATACAAGCCCGTGTCCATGCCTTGAGGTCCTTGTGCATACCAGGCCAGACGAAGCGGTCGGAAACCAGCTTGTCGGTTGTTCGACTCCCAGGGTGAGACAGATTGTGCCGATGATATCGCCTTACTTGCTTCAAGTTTTGGTGATCTGCAGTCTATGGTGTCACGAGTGAACGAGGTCGCTAAATCAGTCGGTTTGTCCATAAACGATGGGAAGACCAAAGTATTCTCAAGCTGCATCCCTGACCAGGAGAAGGCACCCCTGGGGATTGATGGCTGTCAACTTGAAGAAGTGGACAGTTTTAAATACCTCGGGGCGCGGCTGCTGCCTAATGGACAGAGTAAGGACGACATTGTCTCCCGAATCGATGCTGCCCGCTGGGTTTTCTCAGGCCTTCGGAAATGCCTGTGGAACCGACGTGACCTCTCCATCGCCACTAAGATTCGCGTGTACCGTGCATCTGTCCGGTTTGTCCTCTACGGTTGCGAATGCTGGGCTTTGCGCGTGGCGGATGAGCGAAAACTGGAGGTACTTGACCACCTCTGCTTGAGGATCATCCTTCGAATGAAGTTAACCGACTTCGTCTCAAATGAGATAGTCCGCGCTCGCTGCGACAACATCGCGAGGATAACTCAGGCCATCCAAGAAAGACGACTGAGGTGGTTCGGGCATGTTCTTCGTCGTCCACCTCAGGAGCTCAGTGTTACTGCCCTCGATCCGGCACCGTTG